ACTGGGTCCGCTCCCCCCCTCCTTTTTCTCTCTCTCCCCTCCCAACATTCTCTCTCTCACTCACTCTGTTTCCCCCCTCTCTTTGTTTCTCTGCCCTTCTTCCTTCTCAACTATCCTTCGTCCCATTCACTCTCTCTCACTCTCTGTCTTCCTTCCTTCCTTCCTTCCTTCCTTCCTCCCTCCCTCCCTCCCTCCCTCCCTTCCTAGCTTTCTTCCTTCCTTCCTTTCCAAATTACTAACATTAACCCCACTCTGTCTCCCCCCCTTTTCTCTCTTTCCCCCCTTTCTAACTCTGTCTCTCTCTCTCTCTACCTCCTCTTCTCCATTCCTCCCTTCCACTCGCGCTTTTTTCCTATCTAGGGCCCGTCGTCTACCGCCACGACGGGCTTTGCTTACTAGTCCTCTATATGACAGCCCTCAAGTACTTGAAAATGGTTATCATATATAAGTATAAAATAAGGATGCACGGAGGGAATCCAGCAAAAGAAGTATTGAATAACTTAAAGAAGAATGTAATAATGTTTAGATCATGAATTAGAGGACGTTGTACGGCGGTTTGGGCAAGCAGGTAGAGAAAGGGAATAAGATAACGAGGATAGAGAGTATTTATATGCTTTCAATGTTTAATTTGATTCTCAGAAAGAGGAGAATATGAAAAATGAAGTATTAAGATATGCATAAAATATCTGGATACACACACACACACACACCTAATAAAATATCAATTAAAAAAAAAGAAAATGGTTATCATATCACCTCTCAGTGATCTCCTCTCCAGGCTACAAAATAAAATAAGCTTCTGGAAACAAAAACACCAAATCACCTCCAGAATAAGTTTCTAAAAATGACCAACAGACAATACAGCAGGGAATTCCATGGTCTGGGGACCATTGTCTTGAGTACACGCCAATCTCATCTCTGTTAATGTCTGCAAACCCAGGAGAATACTGGTAGCTGATCTTAGATGGAGGCAGACTCTCAAGTACCGTGGTCCTAAGCTTTATAAGGCCTTTGAGTTCAAAGTTAGCACACTGAGTTAGTCCCAGACACAAACTGGCAGTCAGCAACAACATGTTCTAAAATAACATGTTCGCAGTTAGAACCCTTGCACCCAAACCAACTGGTCTTTCCAAACCTTTAAAAAAATGGGTACTGGTGGCTTCAGATTTAATAGAGGACAGGCAGGGAAAAAATCTATGTATCTAATTCTCAACAGTTCCCTCTGCATGGGGATGCTTATTTCCACAAAGAGAGAGTACACTCTCCCCCAACAGGTTTTTCTACAAACTCATGGGACTCTGTGAGTCTGCAGAAAAACCAAAAAAGTAAAAAAAAAAAACCCCAAAACTTGGGGAGGGTTGAATCCCCCTCCCCATACATTTTAAAATGGCTGTTGCGGGGATCCACTCCAGGCCCTGCTGCATCAACAGTGAGAGATGACTGGCTGATAGCCGGGGGTTAGGGTGGGAAGCAAAAGCAGAACTGGAGCTGGGATTGGAGAGGATTCCTCCTGCAGTATGAATGGCTAAATAATCTGAGCTTCTCACCCCTACCTCTTTTGCTGTGGGCTCCACTGTCCTCTTAAAACTTTCGGGGGGGGGGGGCTTCTAACTGGTTCTGTCAGTAAAAGGCAGGGGCCTTTCAGGGAGGGATCCTTAGGGCCAGGCCTGACAAGGGTTGCCAGTGCCAGGCAGGGACATTCCTAGAGATTTTGTGGTGGGTCTAGCTGCACTGTCAAACATCCTCCATCCTCCTCTCTGCTCCTTCCATAAAGCAAAGAATGGACAAATCTCTGCTCTTGTCTAAGGTGTCTCCTCATGAGCAAATGGCTGGTCTTTTGTCTGTCAAATACATAGGCAGACAGAGACAAAAAGGCAATGGTATGTGTCTCTGTCATAAATGGAATATGTTGTATATTTCCTGCCCCAAATCCTGTTACACCTGTATGTCAGAAAATACCTTCTAGATAATCCTCTCATTCCTATTTTTATGTGTTTGTTTAAAATATCTGCATTTGTTATACCTATGCCAGACCCATCAAGGTAAACATTAACTCTTCATGTTCAGTGAATGGTCACCCATTCAGTTTCATCCTGCCACACATTACGAAACCTTACCTCCATTGTCGGGCACCAGGGAAATGCCAGATCACACTATTGTTCCACAATGGGAATCCCACCAACCCTTTGTGAAATTAGCCACCACATTTTAGCATACTTCAGGATACATTTTGGGGTATAAATATATCCAGTCCGGCACATGCATGGTGTGATTGAGTTGGACACACACAAAAGCCATCATCCTTGATCATAACTCAGATCCTCCGTGGTCTCGCTGGTCAGGTCCATGCACCTCCTCTCTCCAACCTCTGGACCTCTTCACCTCTTCGCGATAGGTACAGTATTACCTCAGTTCCCCACCCCCCATCTGTCAGCTAACTCCTTTAATTTTTTTCTTGTATGCCTGTGATTATTTATTAGAGTGTAAACATCCAAATTATTATTTTTCCTTAATTTCTCTTCACGATTTGGATTGGTTGTTGACTCAACCAAGGGTCTAAAGGGACTATCTCCATAAACACAGATAGCAGGTCCTCACTTTTACCCCAACCTCTTGCTAGCTCTGCCCTTCCCGCTAATATCCCCAATCAAACTAAAGGCGGGATTTTATTTAATAAAGTTGGTAGGGGCAACAGCAGGGAGGCAGAAAAACAAAGAGAATTATGAGGGAGCAGAAAGAGAGAGGAAGTAACACGCATGGAGAAGAGACAGAGAGCAAGAAAAGGGGGGCAGAAGAGAGAAAGAGGGTGAAAGAGGGAGGGGGATAGGGGAGGAAGTAAAGGTGTGAGGAATGGGATAACTTCCCCACAAGTTTCTTGTGGGTCCCCACTTGTATTTAATACTTTCCTTCCCAACCATTTGTCCCCTCATAACGTTTCCAACCCTCTCCACTCAATCTGAAGCCACTTATATTTACTTTACCTGGTAAAGGAAAGCCATTGTGTAAAAGAATCACAAAGCAGAAGTGGATCTGGATTCAACTAGTGGTGTTTGAAATGTCCATAAAACTATATGGTATATATCAGGGGTTTATAAATTAATAATTACACGACTTTTTTAGATATGGTTTCGAAGTATTGTGTTAACACTATGGGTATGTTTTTAAAAATCTAAAATTGCCCCATTTAAGAATACTTATACATGATCATGTATAATGGCTTGGATGCAGTGATTTCATTGTATGAGTGGAAGGCAGTTCATCACTTGGCAAGAAGAGGCACTTATTCCTTGCCCCATCTGCAGCCCTGGTTCTGGAGGCATAGCTGGGTTGTAGATGCAATCTGATGCAGATTTACCGCAGTCTAAATAGACTTAAATCAGTGGATTTACTGGAGTGACTGCAAAGGACTGCAAAGTTTGATGCCCAGCTCCAACAAGATTGAAGTCATGTTTTATTTATAACACAGAATCATGATGCCTCTTTTTGCATATGGCCAATAGATTTCCCCCCCTTAACCTTTAAATTATTTGCCTTGGTTGACCAAAGCCATGTTTCAACTCCCCAGATGACCTTTTTGAAGTAAACATGATTCACTATTTTTCCAATGTATGTTATAACAGCAAATACATTTAAAAGTTCCTTCTACTTTTTGGAAATGTTGATCACTTACGAAAGATGTTATGAAGCAACATTCGAACCAATAACAGCGTTACCTTGGAGACAGTTTACATCCACGTTGCAAATATGCATTGAGTGATCCTGTTGCAGCAAGCAAGAGGCCAAGGTAGGGAGGTGAGGGCTTCATGGGTCTTGAAGAAAACTCTGGATGGAACTGGATGCCAATGAAATACGGGTGACCTGAAGACATATCAAACAAACAAAAAATTGAAGATAACAATACCTTTCCCCCCCTAATGAAGCCACATTTAAAGCAGCGAATATTGAACACAACAATTTTCAGAAACAACGTCCCAAAATATTTAATTTCTATTAGTTAAATCTAACTGTGGCCTGAAAGATTTGCTTTCCACAATTAAGCCTGGTGGGGTGTGGTGGACTCTAATCTGGAGAACTGGGTTTTATTCCCCACTCCTCCACATGAAGCCAGCTGGGTGACCTTGGGTGAGTCACAGTTCTCTAGAGCTCTCTCAGCCCCAGCTACCTCACAGGGTGCCTGTTGTGGGGAGGGGAAGGGAAGGCGATTATAAGCCACTCTGAGACTCCTTCAGGTAGTGAAAAGCGACGTATAAAAACCAACTCCTCCTCCTCTTCTTCTTCCTCCTCCTCCACAATGTTTTATGTCAATTTGGTTAATGAAAGGCATTCCATGCATTTTGTTCTTGTTTTTGAAGTTCCATTCTGCCATTGGAAAATTTAATCTGGATCCAACCCATTATCTTGTAATCACTATAACAACTCTGTAAGGTAGATCAGTATTACTATCTCCATATTGTACACTGGGAGCTGAGAGGAGTGGGTTGCTTGTTCATGCAGCCAAACAATAATGCTTTAGTCAAATCCCATCTCTTCTCCACTCCCTGCAACCCACCCCCAATACTTTGGAAAAAGGAATCATTCATTTGAAAGATACAAACTCAGCAGGCAAAATTGTCTAGAAAATTCTCCTGGAGAAACCAAATGAGAGTTGCCCATGGGCCTGATGGAACATGTCCTTTCTTGATTCTTTCTCTGCCCTCCGTGCCCCCCACTTTCTCACCTTATAGTATTTTTCTCTTAGGTAAGTTCTTCTTTGAGTCTGGAAGAGGTAACTGCACTAGACTAAGCTTCATTTTCTTCCTTGTAATCTTCTATTGCCCCCTTTCAAGAGCTGAGAGGCACTTGGCACAGGGAAGCGAGCTCCCCCATCCAGCATGTCTCAACCTGCTATAACAGCAAATCTAGCACTTATTATGGTATTATGGAATTGTAATCTGGTTTTAATACTGTTTTAAATGATTTAGTGTATTATTTTAGATGTTTTCTACTGATTTTATGTAAGCCGTCCTGAGCCGGCCCTGGCTGGGAGGGTGGGGTATAAATGTGAATAAATAAATAAATATTAGTCAAATTAAAAAAAAAAAATCTGCTCACAAGCTTTATTCTCCATTGGAATTCCTATGATTACCTTTCTTTTTGACTGTTTTCTGCTCTTGGCAAAAAGTCTTGCCTTGCCACACAAAATCATTTCTAGAACGTCAGAAGACATCTTAGTTGTTCTGCTATTTAATTCACAGCAGCATACAGTTTTAAAAACATGGCCAATTCCATCATGATTTGTCCATGAATATTTCCAAGTCAAACTTATCAAATCCTCCCCCCCCCTAGATATTAGTATGTATAATAGAAGTAATCTAGCAGGAAAGAAATTAATTCAGTGATAGAGTATTCCCTATGAGTATGACACATTACACATTAATACTAGAGCAGCATAAACATACAGAGATAGTTCGCTGTGCTAATGGGGAGGCAAATTTAATTACTAAGCTTTAGGTTTTCATAAATAAGTGAATTTATATGCCTACTCCTAAAGAAATCCATGCTAAAAATCTCTGTAATTCCCTATTTTATTATTTACATACATGTACCTCAAAAAGATGTGCAACCTTGAATTTCACTTATTAACTTATGCAAACATTAACAATATAAGCAACAGATTTTAAAATCTGTGATTAGCAGTCTGTAAAAGTTAAAATCTACTAGGGTTGCCAAGTTCAATCAATAAACCTTTAATAGCATATACAACATTAAAATCAGAAACAGAGAGTGACACAGTCAACTAAAAAACTGGAATAATTATAAAATCATGAAACGGAGTTTCCCAAATTTTTCACTCTTATCACATCAACTAAAAAATTAGCCACTGCCACTGTAATCTCTGCTGTTGTATCATTCAATAGAATTTGGCATTTTCTTTCATTAGAAAGGTGATATTTACCATGCAACCAAGAGTTTAACCATTTTTCCCTAGCAGATACATGCAAGGAACAGTCCAGCAGTATGTGATCAATTGAATCAAGAGAGCTTGCCAAGTTGTTGCAGTTGCTGCAGTGGGGGACTCCTGGGCGGCGACTGGAGCGCGCGCCGCACGCACATCACCCGGAAGTGACGTTAGGATGCCAGGCATGCTGGGGGCGGGGCCACGACCCTTGGAGGGAAACCCATAGAGTTTTCTCTCCAATGGTCGTGGCCCCGCCCCCAGCGTGCTCAGCGTCCTAACGTCACTTCCTGGTGATGCACACGTTGGGGCGGGGTTCCCCCAGGGCCCAATCCGCTGGCGGCGGGAAATGGGCCTCTGGGGTGGGGGTTTCCCCACCCCCCGGGGGGACTTGGCAGCCCTAAAATCTACACATGGCATACTAATTATGTATAAAATTATTTATTTACATCGTTCATACCCTGCCTTTCTCCCCAATGGGGACCCAAAATGGCTCACATTGTTCTCTGCTCCTCTATTTTATCCTGAGAACAGTCCTGTGGGGTTGGGGTTAGGCTGAGAGTATAAAACATTTCCAAGGTCACCTAGCAAGCTTTGATGGTGCAGTGGGGGGTTTCAAACTTGGGTCTGTGTGCCAGATGCTAATCCAACCACTATATACCACTGTTGAAAACAGGTTGTATATGTCATTAGTATTATTTAATTATATGGATTGTCTTACATTAAAATCTTTATACTGGATGTTCTGAGTGAACAAAACCTTGTCTTTAAAAGTTTTTCAGTCATTTTAAAAGAGAAATATTTCACACTAGCTTTTTTTTCAGTTCTCTTCAAATTTTCCATTGGAGAAATTGGGAAAAAAACAACCTTGGAATGCCCCTCCCTATTTTTCCAGATTTCTTCATATTAGATAGAGAATCCAATACATATCTTGTACAAAACTAAGGCATTCATAACTTTTAAATTCCATAAATATGTCAAATATTGTCACTGTATATGCTAGGTAAGTTATAAATGATGCATTTTATGTTGTTAGACCAGTAACATTACTTTAAGTTTGATAGGACAGTAAGTTTTGCATATATTTCAATTTTTCCCAACTTTTTTTCTCGTGGCTTCAAATTTTCTGGAGCTTACATCTCTACTCGGGACTACTTCACAAATCTAGTTCAACTTCAATGTACAATATTTTATATATTACACTATTCTAGCCTACCTACAAGCAAAATGCCTTTGAAGTGTAGACTTCAGCAAGTGATATTTTACATTCCCTTCCAATCCTCTGTACCTTAGACTAAAATATACCCTGGGATATAATCTTTGCTCCTTAAACCAAAAAGTACTTTCTACCCACAGACAGAAAAAAGTGCCTGTATACTAGTATTTCACTAGCTATAGTTGAAAACGGAATAGCTATGACTCGTGTAAGGCTTTTCTTGTAATGTGACCCAAAAGCAATGGGGTCAGATCTCATATAGACTCAAATCTATTTGATTTGATTTGCTTCTTGGGCATAGAAGGTGAATGAGAATGATAGTTAAAATCCTGTGGTGTTTGTATCCTACATGTTTGTCGAATTTGTTACTGTTTGTTGAATTTGTTACTGTGTAATGAACATTCCATCTTCCAAAAGCCAAATTACTTACCATCCAGTTCAACAATCTCCATTCTCTTCCCTTCGGTGTCATGGCCAACAAATTTCAAACCTTTTTCTTCAAATAAATTAACCAGCTCAGGGTTAACCTTGAAAAATGAAAAGAAAAACAGAGAAGATAAAATATTACTTTTTCTAAGACTTATATCCTACTTTTTCACCAGTTAATTTTTCAAAATTGTTTAGAACAGCTGGATAACAGCATCTTCCAAATTTTATAATACACATATTGCTTCAGAAACAATTTATAGTACATGTAGTGCTTCAGTAGGGCTTGAATGAGCATTGTGATACTGGTATATGGCAAACCATGTGTTCACTAGTACCAGCAATGTGTGCACCCTCACTGAGATGACCAATAGTACAATCCAAAGAACACTTTGTTGGGAGTAAACCCCACTGAATATACTTTAGTAGGATTCTGATTAGATGTGCTTAGGAGGATTATACAGGAAGCTACTGTTTAATTCAGGGATCCCTGACCTTTTTTGAACCTGTGGGCACCTTTGGAATTCTAACACAGGGTGGTAGTACAAACACAAAATGGCTGCTGCAGGAGATGGGGCTAAGGTTGCCAGTCCCCAGGTCCAGGCGGGGATTCCCCTACTTCTGGGGGCTTCAATCTGCCCCTGGCCAGCAGGTCACCTGGGAAAGCCCCATCCCCAAGAGTGACCACCCACCCGGCCACCCCTCTCCCTCCCCTCCTGCCCAACTTAAAGGGCTTCAGCTGGTCAGTGGGGACCATGTGGCCTGTCAACCAGCTGGAGGGCCCTTTAAATCTACCAGGAAGGAGGGGGAGGGGCGATCACAGGGAAATCAGCCCATCATGCCACAGCCCCCACCCTGCTCGCAAAAAGTCCCTTTAAAGAAACTCTGTGTGACACAGAGTGTTGGACTGGATGGGCCTTTGGCCTGATCCAACATTGGCGTCTCTTATGTTCTTATGTTCTTATGTCTTTCTGTGAGCCAAGTGTACGGCCCGTGACTGCCCCTCTCGCTCCTTCCTGCTAGATTTAAAGGGCCCTCCAGCTGGTCAGTGGGCCATGTGTTCCCCGCCAATCAGCTGAAGTCCTTTAAATCTGGCAGAAGAGGAGGGAGACTGGGCGGCAATGCTCCCTCTAAGCTGTGGAGTCTTGTGAGCTACTGGCATTAAAGTTGTGAGCAAGCGATTTGGCTACTGTAAATTAGTTTGCTCTGGAGCCACAGACAAGAATCTGTGAGCTGGAGGCTAAAAAACTGTGAGCTAGCTCACACTAACTCAGCTTAGAGGGAACATTGGGGCAGGTGGTCGCTGTTGGAGGTGGGGCTTGGGGGTATCCCTGTCCACCCCTAGAACACCCTCCCCAAATCCTCCCACTGGAGCAGTGAGTGAACCTGGCAACCCTAGGTCTGGCCAACCACAAAATGGTTGTCACAGGAGGCAAGGCCGACCACAAAATACCAGGGAGTGAGGTTATACGTAACTCTAACAGTATATCTTCAATATTTCAAGCAGAAGCTCTGTCTTCCTAGATACAAAAGAGATCCATGTCAGTCTCCCTAGGTCCTAAAGAGTAGCTTCACACAAGTTTCTTTGTAGTTAGGTTTGGAATTTTCCTTGTATGGTATGACAGGCCACAATAAAGTGCTGGGATTCATGCAAAGGTGCCTTTCTGCTTGTGCAACAAGAGATCTGAGGTTTTCCATTAAAGCTGCAGTCGAACTGTTCCTGAGGGAGTGTCATAGGAGGCCATATAAAATGAGATCAGGCAAGAAAGATCCATTTCATCACTGGGCCTCTGGCTCTGATCTAACCCACCACCTATAAATTATGTAAGAAGCTTATAGTATTTCACAAGACTGGAGTGTTTACACTTACTATGCAAGATGTTATATGGATTCTGCAGGAATATAGCCAAAATAAGAAAGGATAAAATACACTATTGGCATATCACTTTATAGCATAAAACTGTCTTCTAGTCTTAAGTGACACACTAAATACCATTAATAAGGCTATCAACTGAAATTACTAGAGGTACTCCCTTAGCTTCATTTAAAACGTCTCATAAGAATAAAATATGCTTATGTTTACTTGCCTCATAGCGATGTCTGTGTCGTTCTTCTACAAAAACTTCGTCACCATAGAGTTTCCCTAAAAACAGTATTTTGAGTTTTAAAATTTTATTTCCATTAAGTCAGAATTTGTATGCGACAATCTTTTAGTTACCAGTGAATTTTTAAGAACTATGTAAGAAACTCAAAGAGATATAAGCTGGAAATCAACATGGTAGGCCATTTTTTCCATGTCCTAGTTCTAAAATAGAGGCTCAGAAAGATAATCCGAATGCTTAAAGAGAATTTTTAGGGGAGGGGAGGTTCAAGAGAGTTTCAACACTATACATACACAGACCACAGATAGACATTTCTAGCCATATTGTATGCTACAGAAGATCACAAAAGATGCATCTATACAGCTGTTGGAGGGGTGGACAGGCTGGACTGGAGATTAGATGGGGAACCAGCAGAATAAGACAACGGCTGTGAACGGATATGTGTAGAAGGGAGACTGACGCTTGGTTACAGGAATGAAATGGCCTTGGTTGCCCTGGGGGGTGACCTGTGCGAAGAGAAAGACACAGGAAGTGAGACCCTGTTAATTCTCTTGGACCCCCCAGTGTCTTTCATGGTATCCTTCTGGACCACCTCTTTTGAGGCTGGGAGTGGGACCATTTGCAGTGGTTTTAGTCCTACCTCCAAGGAAGGTTTCAGATTGTGTTACTGGGGGACTGTTGTTTGGCTCCTTGCCTAAAGGGTCCTACAAGGGTCCATCTTGTCCTTCACACTTTTCAACATCTGTGTGAAGCTGCTGGAAAAGGACAGTTGGAGCTACGAGCTAAGTTGTCACCAATATAAGGATGATACTCAGCTCTATCTCGCACATCCAGCAGTTCACAGGGAGGCTGTGAAAACTGCTAACGGGGCCTGGAGGCAGTTTTGGGATGAATGAGGAGCTAACAAATTGAAACTTAACCCTGACAAACCGGAGGTGCTACTGGTAGGGGGAAAGTCTAACCCAGCATCTGGATGGACTTGCACTTCCCATAAAGGAGTAGGTTCTTATCTTGGAAGTGCTAATGGACTCAGGCCTCCTTTGGATAAACTTGTGGCAGTGGGGGCTAAAGCACCTTTCACCAGCTTTGGCTGGTGAGCCAGTTGCAGCCATTCCTGAGCCCGAAAGGTCTTGCCACTCTGTTGCATGCCCTGGTAACATCTAAATTAGATTACTGCAATGCCCCGTACAGGGGGCTGCTTTTGAAGACAGTCCAGGAGCTACAGTTGATTCATAATGCTGTGGCTAGAACGCTGACTGAGATGGTCATAGAGGCCATATCACTCCAGTCTTGTTGCATCTACACTGGCTCCCAGTTTGCTTCTGGGCACAATTCAAGATGTTGACTTTTAAAACTCTATTTGACTTGGGACCAACATACCTGAAGGACTGCCTGCTCCTAGATGAACCTACCCAACCACTCCGGTCTGCTTTGGGTGCCCTGCCATCTGAGGGTAGGTGGGTGGCAACACAAGAAAGTCTTCTCAAGCTTGGCAGCAAAACTTTGGAATGCCCATCACAGGGAGATTCCTCCATCTCCCTCTATGATTGTCTTCTGCCAGTGGGTGAAACCTTTTTTGTTTTGTTTGGCTTTCCCTCACTAAGTCTTATTAGTAGCATTTCTCTGACTTTAAAGCCCTATATGGCTTGGGGGTCAGCAAACCCAAAGGATCACCTACTCGCATATGAACCAATCTGACCACTCCAGTTGCTTTAGAGGTGCTGCTTCGGATACTCCCCCCATCTTAGGCTAGATGGGCGGCAATCCAAGAAAGGACCTTCTCGATCTTGGCACTAAAACTTTGGAACTCCCTCCCCAGGGAAGTTTGTCTATCACTGCCTTCTGCCAGTGGGTAAATATTCTTTTGCTACTATCGGCAAAAGACAGAAGAGACCCCCTCACTTCTGCAGGAGTATACCACATACCATGCAGTTGTGGACAAGTTTACATCAGGACCATACAGCGTAGCATTCAGACAAGAATAAAAGAACATGAAAGACACTGCAGACTTCGCCAACCTGAAAAATCAGCAGTGGCTGAACATAGCCTAACTCAAACAGGACACAGTATTTTGTTCCAAGACACTGAAAGGCTGGACAACACTTCCAATTACCATGTCAGATTACACAGGGAAGCCATTGAAATTCATAAACATAAACATAATTTCAACAGGAAAGAAGAGAGTTTAAAAATAAATAGGGCATGGTTTCCTGTCCTGAAAAACACAAAAGCCTCTACATCTGACAATAGCACTACAGATAAGATTAGAATTTCAACAGCCAATCCACATACAAAAGAACCTCCTCAGGAAACAGGAAACCTCCTCAGGAAACAATCCATATACAAAAGAACCTCCTCAGGAAACCTCCTCCATTAGCATGTTCATAGCCTGGGGAACTCCTACAACTCAGTCCTACCCCACCTTCTGGAGTATATATAAATTACCTGTGTACCATTTTTTCTTCTCACCTTGAGACAAAGAGTACTCCATTTTTCTGTGTTATACCTCTGAGGATGCCAGCTACAGCTACTGGCGAAACATCAGGTTCTACAATGCCAAGACCACGGCCACACAACCCGGAAAATCTACAGCAACTAATGAACTCTGGCCGTGAAAGCCTTCGACAACATAAATATTCTTTTGTTTGGGATTCCATCACTAATTATTATTAGTGTTCTTACATATTCATGTGTATATGTTTATATGTTTTAATTGTTCTAAATATTTTATACACATTAAATGCTTTTTAATGTTTTAAATATTTATTTTTGCCACCTTGGGGACCCTGAACTGGGTAGAAAAGTGGCACAGAAATGTTTTAAATAATTAAGTAAACACACAAAGCACCACCAAATACAGAGTTTGGAGTCACAGCCAATATGGCACACTGTTTGGAGTGCTGGACTGGGAGACCTGGGTTCAGATTCCCACTTGCCTTAAAATTTACTGGGTGACCTTGGGCCAATCGTTCTATCTTAGCCTGGACTGCCTCACAGGGTTGTGGTGAGGCTAAAACTGGGGCACAAGCTGTAAACTGCATTGAACTCCATGGAGGAAGGCTAGGACAACAATTCACAAAAGGCAAACAGCTGGCTGTCCTATCAGCATGAGAAAATGGGAGATACTGCCTGGGAAAATAACCATGTCATATTACTAGCCACATTGTTTTTCTGCAATGAAAATATTATCAAAGCAGTGTGTGAGGTGACCACATGAAGTAGAGACCACACTGTTTGAGTAATATAAGAACTGTTCCAATTGCTAACACAAAACCAACATTTTCCTCCAAGTGGTGACAAAAGTGATGGCACAAAACCAATATTATATTTGTTCCTACTCACTTGCTTTATAAAATCTTTTTAAAACATAAATATGCATCCCACAGTGATTGGAGCATTGCTTAACAGGAGGCTGTTGTGTGTGAAGCAGTACAAAAAACCCACACTACATCTCCATTGTCATAATGAAGAGTAACTGCGTCCAGCTGCAGTACAGATAGGGAAAGCACTATCCAGCCAGCTCCCTTTTATAAATATGTTCACAGATGGAACAGGGGTTTTTTGTGTGTTAAAAAACCTTACAGAAATACTGAGTGGTTATTTCCATTTATTTATTGAAAAGATAAGTTTCAAGACATGCCGTGCAATCTGCAGAAAGGGGTATACACAAGTACTGAATTAGAGCTATTTCAGCGAAAGAAAGCACATCAAATTTTCTATCATTCAGACATGCACAAAAATTGACTTCCACTGTTTCAAAGAACCAAAGAAAAACAAACCCATTGGGTTAGAAGGAACACCATGCTGCCCTCCCCTTACATGTTCAGTCAATTGGTCTAGAAATCAAAAGAGGGTTAAGTCCAACTTGTTATATTATCCTTTCCTTTGTAGCTTTGAGCACTTCCATTTTTGGCTGGAAACTGAGGATTGGAGAAGGGTAAGAAGTCTTTTGCATATTGTTGATTCCCACCCCATCCTCATTTACTGGATGCCGTGTATAACCCAGGGGAGTACATATGGGCACAGTATACAAAAACTGGAAAATATAACACCAATGCAAGAAATCCCATGTTAAATCCATTTTGTGCTCTTCTTCCCTTAACCAGAGCCAGTCAATTCAATTGTTTGCTAAAGCATGACGAAGAAAGCTTCTGTTCAGCTACAAGATGTTAGCTGAGACACTCTTGCAACAGTGGCCCAAAATGTTTCTCTTGGCTCTGTGTAAGGCCTCCTCAAAATGGCGACCTCCTGCATATGGAAGCTTGGTAATGAACAGTCACATACAGAGGATTTAAAAAGCCCCTTCAGATTGAGAGGAAGCCTCACTAAAATTCATCCATGAACATTAAAAAAAATTTTTTTTAAGGAAAATGGCCAACACAAAGGAAAGACTGTCTCCTTTCATATGTCCCTGTGTGCCAACTATAGTTGCCAGGCAGCCATCTGTTGGCTAACCTACCAACTAGGGCTGCCAAGTCCCCCCGGGGGGCGAATTTCCCCCCGCTTTGGAGGCCCGATTTCCGCCGCCGCGGAATCGGGCCCCGGGGGAAACCCCATCCCGGCGTGCACGTCACCCAGAGGTGACATGATGATGCCGGGTACGCTGGGGGCGGGGCCACAGCCATCTGAGGGGAAAACTCTATGTTTTCCCCTCAGATGGCTGTGGCCCTGCCCCCAGCATGCCCGGCGTCATCACGTCACCTCTGGGTGATGTGCATGCGGCACACGCGCGCAATAGACGCCGTCCGAGAGCCCCCCACCGCTGTGCGAAAACGACTTGGCAACCCTACCACCAACTGTGGTGGCCTGTCTGGCATTGACCAGAGCCCAGGCCTTTCCCACTGTGGCTTTGGTTCTGTAGAATGGTACCCCGGGGGGGGCTTTCTTGGAGATCTTCAGGAGGCACTGAAAAGCCTGCCTGTTTGCTAGGTCTTTTAAGGGGGGGGGGTTTGAACGGCAGGCATCCTTTAAGGGTAGGGTTGCCATCTCTGGGTTCAGAAATACCTGGAGATTTGAGGGCGAAACCTGGGTTGAGTGGGCT